AGCAAACAAATCGTGAGAATGCAAATCAGTCAGGGTCTGATCGTCTTCCATCAAAGTCAGTTCGAGATCGGAGCCTCAACTAATCAGCGATCGTTCGAACTGGGGCAGTTCAGTGTGGTCTTCGATCGGCTCTTTCTTGTGAGTAGGGAGCAAGGGAGTAGCGAGCAGGGAGGAGAAAGTAGTGGAAGCAGCTGCTGACCAATGGACACGCTCGCAATTAGCCATGAAATTTTCCATCTTGCAAGGACCGCCGCTGTCTTTGTCCTTTGGCGCTGGACAGTGAAAAATCCATATCCATGTGCAAAATAATTCATTCTTGAATTTGCGAGTATAACCAGGTTATGAGTTATGAATGGATGGTCCGTGGGCTTGGGTCCGGTCCGGTCCAGTCCGGTCCAGGCACTCTCTGCTACTCGTACTACGAGAAGAACACTAATTTAGTTCAACTAAATCGATTTGATAGGCTGCTGCACGACTCTATTTCCTATCAGTGATCTACAGCACTGAAAAAGATCATTGAAAAGAATCCGTGGATAATTTTGGTTAGCTTTTTCCTCACATAAAAAATGAGTATTATTTATGCAAGATAAATGCTTCAACTAGGGCAGGATTAAGCATGGCAACAGAATGATTTTTAACGGCTGCTTGTTCCCGCTCTGATTTCTGCTCCGGCTGCATTTTCCGCTGCCAGGCGCAGTGGAGCAGCAGATCAGTGCCTGGGGTCTCGTAAATCATTATGGCAAATGTCATTCGGAGACTTGACATGCTGCATAACAAGTTCCGCTCCTTTCCCTTCATTCGTTTTGTTTTTTGGGTTAAAAAAATGAGTTGCATTATTTCGAATCTCATTTTTTGTTGGTGCTTCGCTTTTTTTTCGCTTTTTTTAGCTGGCTGTCAAATTACTTGAGGGCGCCGCAATGTCTGAGAATTATTTGTGGGTACGCGAGGAGGTAGATAGCGCAGTTGCAACAGACAGCAGACACAAGACACGAGAGGAGGACAGGGGATAGAGGACGAGGGGTGGAGGTCGTCTTAGGACCTTCGGGCACTGCAATGCAGACAACATTTTTTTTTACCCCTTTATTTATTTTTTTTCCTTTTCTGGTGTTGTATTTTTCGGGTGGATAAACCTTTTTTTCATACTCTTTCTGCCCGAAACCTTTCTCTTTCTGAGCGCTGTGAGAAATGCAAATTCGGCGGTAAGGCGGTTGGAAAAAAGTTGTTAAATTTGTTAGCGGAGCAGAGCAGAGCCACTGGAAACTGGAAAGAGGAAAGAGGAAAAAAGCTGCACTAATTTGATTTCTTCAAAATGCAGTCTTGAGAAGGGTCTGCCGCTCACCGTCACCGTCACCCTCACCCTCTCCGCTGCAGCCTGTCTGGGTCTCTCGGTCTCTTGGTCTCTCGGTCTCGGTCTGACTGTGGCGATGGCGATGGCTATGGGTAGGAGGGTGATGCCTGTGCTCCGATCTCCGATCTGATGACATTGAGGACCGTTGCCATAGCCATTTTTTGGTCATTTATCAAATTTCAAGCAAAAGCAGATCAGTCTCAGTCTCAGCTCCGTCTCCATCTCCATCTCCTTCTCCATCTCTTTCTGCTTTCTGCTTTCTGTGTGTGTCTATGAAGTGAATATCACAACAAAACAGGGACATCGGAGTCGCTCATTCTGGAGTCCTTTTTGGGCGCGAGTTTTGTGTCCCCGTGTCTTGTGCCCCGGGCTGTCAATCAAACGCCATCAATGCTTTCTTTCACATTTGTACTTGCCTCATGTTGCAAGCTGTCATACTCGTACTCGTACTCGTACGCTCCACTGTACCCTCACACTGCATGCTCTCGCTGCATTCCCATTTCTTCCCACATTTGGCATGCAAATTTAAAGCAAATCCCCTAATCGGCAATATTTATTGCTTACACGCCGAAATCAAGTTTCCGAAATCAAGGCCCCTGTGCAGTTTGCACAAATTAGGCAAATCCGAAATCCGGGCCACCCATATGCACAACCGTATGCGTGTGAGTCAAGGGTTTATGCCTAATGCATTTGCAATTAGTTTGCCAAACCCATCACGCACCAAAAGCAAACCCCTTGCCCCGACTCCGGCACCCAACGGGACTCGAATTGAATTTATAATCGATTTAGATCAGTTTTTGCAAAACTGCCAAACACACAAAGTGGCCTGCGCCTGCGCCTGGGCCTGGTCCAAATCCACCCCAAAGACAAGCCATCCTCCGGTAACCCTTCCTTCCATCAAAAACTCTCAGATCAACGATGCCCGATGCCGCTGTTGTTGCTGTTAATTTTGATTTTAATGAAGCGCGAATTACAAAAACATGGAAATCGTATCAATTACAGAGACAAAGATCTCTGCATCAGCCTCAGGGTCGGCCATGAAAAGCGCAAACATGGATTGGGTTTGGCTTGAATGTGCAGAAAGATGATCTCCAATGGGTCAGAGCAGCCATCTGAGATAAAGAGGATATTGGGGCCTATTTGGTGAAGTTTAACTGATGTGTTTTATTTTTTATAGAGGGAACAGAACTTCAGCATGAGGCACATTTCAGAGAGGTCATCTTCAATGGCTCAGCAGCAAGTTTATTAAACATACAGATTCCTAGAGGCATGGAGAATCATATACTTAAAGCACACTGACCATGCCAGTACAAAGATATGTCCGTAGAGGCTTCCAAGGGAGCTGTCGCTGTCGCTGTTCGCCAGATGAGAGCAGTAAGATACGAAAAGTCAATGGCAGTCCAAGTGGCACAATGACATAACAAATCCATCGATATGGCAGGATCACAGCCAGCTGCCTGGGACTGGGACTCTTAACGGACTCAAGGAGCAGCGTGATCGAGCAACCGTTTTGTGAAGTGCCCAAGTGCCCGGCAGGGAAAATGACTTCCATGAACCAAGCCCCCCCTACCACCACCACCACCACCACCACCGCTTCACTCGTACACCCACAATCCTTAAGGAATACGCAATGATAATGGGAATCGCATTGCCATTCGTATTACCATTGAATACTCACTCAATGGGTCAAAAGTTGATGCGAGAGCTCGTAAAATCTGAAGATCGACAGGAGACGTCACATAAACAGTGCGCGCATAAAGACTGCAACCCGAACGGCTGCTAATGTAAGGCACGAGGCCTCAACTGGGACATGGGACATGGCCATGGCCAAGAAGGTTGTCGTTGCCGGCATCTGGACAAATATTTACCGAAGCTTCGCTCGTAAATTGCTCGCCTACGCACAATGGACCCGATAGACCCTTTGCGATCCCCATACCGATCCCGATCCCAATCCCGATCCCGAGACCAAGTACAAATCAAAGTGAAAGTAATGACCAGCAAAGAGGGAGATGGTGATAGTGACGGTGACGGTGACGGTGGTGCAGCGAGTGGAGAGAGTGAGTGTGAGAGGACTAGAAAGATTCCCGCTGGACAGAGACATTAGGCTACTGTTTTTGTAGTCCCGACTTCTGCTGCTGCTGCTGCTGCTTTGGCTTTTCCTCTCCCTCTCTTTTCCCATTTCCTCAACGACAATTGTTCCAGATCTTTTTTGGACAACACACGAGACAAATCTGGGCTAAGACACCTTGCGACGTCGCCGTGTGGGTTTCCTTTCTTTTTTTACAGTTCCCCGACAGCTGGCTGGCTGGCCTGTCCCTGGCCCTGGCCCATTGTCCACCGTTGGCAGAGGCAAAGCCAGCACGGGGACAAAAGAGTCGTTCGACAGACCGTTTGTCAGGGATTTACCTGCTTAGAAGAGAAATGCAGCGCAAGGGCAAGAGAAAGCCGCAATGAAACGGAAGAGAGGAGACCCGACTCAACAGGCAGTCGCTCTCTTACTTTCACTCGCTGGCGCTCTCTGCCGGCGAGCGGCTGAAGCTGCTCTCAGTTGTACCGAAATCCAAGTCGAAATCATTGCTTTTACTTAATCTTTGGGTTAGTTTGCTTGGTCCGATGAAGACACTGATCGACTATAATTTATAATTTAACTTTGAATTGTTTTTTGTATAAATTGCAGCACTTTTAATAACTGCGTAATAACAAATTTCTCTATAGTATATCTGCAGAGTTCCACATGACTCCCCTCCCCTGCGCCATTCCTTTGCCGGCCAGCTGAGATTCCGTTACAATCAGCAGCAAAGAGACAAGAGAGCGCTCACTCTCTCTCGATAGTGCGCCTGCGCGGTGGTGGATTTCCGAAGTCCCGTAGTCGGCTCTTCCGAACGGCGCGCGTGCTCAGTAGAGACATTGTCTCTAGCAACATTCAAACAGAGTTGGGCAACATTTGAGTACCTCTGGCGGCACTTAGGGTATATAAATATATTATTTGATATGTTTATTTTCAATGAAAATATAGTCTGTACTTTTTCGGATATACTGTGGGTCTTCGAGCATAAATAGACACTGAAAAAAATATTTTTTTTTCTTTATTTGGATGTTCAATGCCATCTATTGAAAAGCAGCTTCAGCATTATAAGTGCAGCTAGGGTATAAAAGCGTCGATACTCAACCAACGCAAGCTGGTGTTCAAGCAACATGAGTATGGATCAGCAGCAGCATGGCTGGGCAACATGACTTGGTGTAGCCGTCGGGGTGGGTACAATGGGAAAAACGGAAGCACTGTGGAATTTGCTGCGTCAATCCTCTTTCGGCCGCGGACAAGGAAACAACAGAAATAGTGTCGAATTTTTTTTTTCTGAATTCAGAAAAGTAATGAATTAATAATTTCGTCAAAACCAAAAAAAAAAAAAAACACACACACACAAAAAGATATACATCTAGGATCTTTGGCAGACTTATTTTATTTCCGTTTGCTCGTGCAGGCTGCACACACGCCACAAGCGGAGACTTTTGGAAAGCTAAAAACTGTTTTTTTTTTTGTTCCTGTTTCAAAATTTTGTGCAAATTTCAAATCAATAATAAACCGTTTAATTGATAAATCCTTGGACAACGTGCACGGGACATTGTGGGAGCGAGGATTGGGACAGAGAGAGAGAACGAGAGCTGTGGTGCAGGACACAGGGCGACCTAGTCGCAAAACAGATCAACTTTCCCAGGTGAGTAATCGTACTTTGAAGATTAAGCAAACCTGATCAAACGGTCATTCGAAACGACAGAAAGAAACCCAGCGAATGATCGATCCATCAATTGATCGCTTGATAAGCTCCGTTCCCTGTGCCTTCGCCTTCAATCCCTGCTCGGTTTCCCGTGGCACACCTGGCACACACATACACACATAGAAACAAAGGGGCACGCACTCACACACACATTTAGGAACGATCGCACCCATGAGGCGGTTGTCGTGTTTGTCTTTGCTCTAGCTCTAATTTTAATTTAGCCAGAAAAAAAGGCTGGCAATGGAAAATTGGAAACAGAGGAGAAAAAAAAAACCCTAAGACTCTAACCCCTCAGACACAGAGACAGAGAGACAGAGACCCAGATCCAGATCAGGGCGGAAGGAGACCCACAAGAAAGGGGTGGTGCGTCGTCTAATACATTTAATTTGTTGCTGTTTTTTTTTTTTTTTTTTCTTTTCGATCACTGCTGCTGCTCTTGCTTACTCTCGCTGCTACCCCGAGCCGGGGCTAATTCTCCAGGCACAAGTCACACGGAGTGTGAGGCAGCGAGCAAGGAGCAGGAGCGGGGGGAGAGGCAGGAGAAAGATCGCATCATCTTTGGGTAGGAAGAATAATATTTTTTTTGCTCGCCTTTTGCCCCCCACCCTCCCGACTGCAGCTCTTGTTCTCGTGCAGTTCTGCTCTCGGCTTTTCAACCATGGGGTGACGTTTATGGATTACATGAAAACCCATTTCTCTAGACCTGTGTGCATGAATGTGTGTGTGCCCAGTGCTAGTGTGTGTGCATAGACAATGGCATGGATCTGGGATGGATCTTTTGAGTCGCCCTTTTTGGCTTGGCCGATTGCCGATTGCCGATTGCCGCTCTTTGCAAAATGGCATCATTATGCTGGGGCGTAATTGTTGCACGCAGACAAACACAGCCATCGAATATAGAATAGACCATGCGCACAGATACAGATACGCGCACAGGGAGCAGAGCAGGGCAGAGCAGAGCAGACCAGAGCAGCGCAGACCAGAGCAGCGCAGAGCAGGATCCTTGCCACAAGGACTCCCGACTCGCTCAATTTTATGGTTGGCAACCGCAGCGCTTTAAAAAAATCTGTTTGCAAATTAGCATAAGTTTAATTTCAATTTAAATGCAAACCTGAAATCGCAAAAGCGCGCAAGAACGAGGATCAATGAGGCTGACTGAGACCTGAAGGATAAAGCAAGGCGAAGCGGGTCCCTTCGCTGGACTCAGTGCGGAGTACGTGAAAAACTCGTTTGCCGCAAAAAAAAAAAAAAAAACAATTTGCAAAATTTCCTGCTTTGTTTGCTTCGATCGTTTGCGCTGCCTTCATTTAGTTGTTCCTTTGCCGTTTTCTTCCTTTTTTTTGTTTTTTTTTGCATCAAAATTGTCTGGAAGTTCCCAAAACACACACACAACAAAATAGCCAAGAAAGCAAGAAAGAAACCAGAATCCCCAGATCCCCTGTTGCACTGATCCCCTGTTTTGCTGCCAGCTGCCCATAAAACCAAGAAACCAAGAAACCATGCAACAGAAACCTCAACAATTTTCTGCCGCAAGGATCTAGAAAATGATGAGCAGCGCGGGGCCAGGGCTGACCATCCATTGTACAGATAAAGCTCCTACGAGCATACCTTCTGAGTTGCATAAGCCAGAGGAGATAGATCTTTCTAGCATTCCAGTGCCTGCGCTAACCGTTCTCTCTTTTCCGTTCCTTTCCGCCCCACAGCAGGGACATGCCAACCATGACACGAATGCATCGGCACTCCAGCTCCAATGCCGTGGTGGAGGAGACGCGCGGCCGCCGGCGCGACATTGGGGGCGAGGGCGAGGCCAACAAGGAGAACTATGGCGTGCACTTCATGAGCAGCCCCTTCGGCAACGCCAGCCTGATCGCCCTGCAGGACTTGAGCAATGTGCACGGCAAGAGTCCGCAGCGGCGCAGCTTCAGCGAGGGCAGTGGACCGCGTCAGGCCACGCCGCAGCTGGCGGCTCTCCGCTGCCTGCCCCGAGCTCCAGTGGCCCCACTGGGTGCTGCTGGCCACGGCGCCGTCGCTGTGGGATTGGGTGTGCCTGTGCTGGAAGACTCGCAATTGTCGTCCTCGCGGATGGGCGACACCACGCTGGATCGCATGCTGGACGCCATCATCGAGTCGGCGCGCAAGGAGGTGCGCTGCAAGCACACAACAGGAGCAGCAGCCGCAGCTGCCACCACAGCTGCCAGCACAGTGCTGGCCGATTGCGGGGAGTGGAGCGAGAGCAGCGTCCACGAGATGGAGGTGCGCACCCCCACCCACTTGAAGCGGCAGCGGGTGGTGCGGCGCAAGAATCCCCACAAGACAGCCACCACAGCCACCAGAGACGGGCAGAGCCGGAGTCGCAGAAAGAGCCGGAGCCGGAGCGGGAGCCAGAGCAAGAGCCAGAGCAGGAGCAGGAGGCAGAGCGCGACGCCAGTCCAAATGGAGCATGTGCCCAGCACCAAGCGCTGCCTCAGCTTCTCCAGCTCCACGTCCAGCGACCTGGACGACGATGAGCAGCTGGCCAAGCGCAGCTCGATGGCCTCCACCACATCATCGAACCACTCCAGCGCTGCTGGCACTGCCGACAGCCAGCGGGGCAGCATAGACCTGAGCATCGTCTACGATGCCAAGCAGCGCAAACTGAATGTACACGGTGAGTCCCAAGGCGCATCGCACCAAGGCGGTAGGTCCCAGTCAGAGAGCGCACTGTACCTGTGCCTGTACCTGTACCTTAAGATGGTCTCGTAATGCTAATCGAATACGGAAATACGTCTACTCATCAGCTAACTGGAGTCTCTTTTCTCTATGCCCTTTGCAGTCATTCGGTGTCGTGATTTGCAGCGTTCTCATGGGACGGGCACCATTTATGCCTACGTCAAGGTGGCTCTGGCCCCCCCCAGCCAGTGCAGCCAGCCATGAACTCTGGCTTCCAGCGCACCGCTGTCCATCGCCACTCGAGCCGGCCGTACTTCGATCAGCGCTTCAGCTTCCCCATTCCGGAGGAGCAGTCCAATCAGCAGCTACAGCTGGCCGTGTGGCATCGGGATCGCCATTTAAAGTGAGTACGAGTAAGGTCACAAAAAACACACAGTTTGTCTGCCTATTTCCACGCCCCGTACCCCATTCCCCATACCCCATACACAATCCTAAATGATTCGCCCCAGCTCCTGCAGGACTACTGAGTCAATTTCATCTTGAGCCATGTCATTCACCCCCAATTGCAGAGTGGTGGGGTGGGGGTTGGTGGGTTGAAGTGGCTGAGTGCTGAGCACTTGGAGCAGGCAAAAGGCTAAGGTCTGGCGTCTGGTTAATTGTAGCGTTTTTCTCTGGCCTCGTGGAACTTATAGCGCCTGGTGCATTTCCTGCACATAAACCAACTAACCAACCAAACAACCAACCAACCAACCCCGAGGGCCATATACGAGTATGTTCCATCTCCGTCCACCGTACACCTTCCACCTTCCACTGCCATCTGGCATCCACATTCCACATTCCACATCCAGGTCATGCGCAGTGGTGTCTGAAGCCTGAAAGCAGCGCTTTTCCAGCGTAGCTTTCGACTACAATTTCTGGGCTGACCTGCGCCGCGGCCCGCCGCCAGTGCTCCAGCTCTCCAGTTCTCCAGTTCTCAGTTGGAGTGCCAAGCTCGCGCGACGCTAAACAGAAGCACCGTGCCAAACAGGGCCCAGCACAGAGAATCGCGGATAAGCACCGAGAAACGGCACCGAGAAACGGCCTGGCAACGCTCGACCTCCCACCAAACGTAGCGAATGTGCTAAAAAGTGTGTGACATCTTCTGCCTCTGGCGCCTGATAATTGCCTGCAGAGAGAGTGTATTTCATATTTATTTTAATTATTTTTGTTCGAGTTGATAGAAGATTCTGTTCGACATCCCATCCGGTGTGCAGTGTCAGTGTCAGTGTCCGCGTCCAGCCCTCCCCTCTGGGGGCAGGCAACACCAAATTATATAACTGTATGAGTGAGGGCCGCCGCATGGAAAGTGTAGCATAATTTTGGGCATGCTGCTAATCTAATGCGAACAGGAAGTGGCTCTCGCTGTGAGTGTGTGCGTGCGTGTGCGTGTGTGTGTGTGTGCGTAAGCTTAGCAGGAAGTATGACAGACTCGAAACGTGCACGGAGCAAATTCAATTGAAATTCAAGGACAAGGACTCTCATTCACCACGAGAGCAGAGCGCCACTTGACCAGCTCTACAGCTCTTTCTTGAGTGGGTTCTGTGAGTGTGAGTGGGGCACTCCAACGGGTAACTGGTTGCCATTTGATGCCAGATCGATTTGGTTAGCGATTATGCAATGGTCACCGCCATCGTCAGCCCACATTACACACGCTAGCTGGCCACAGAGTCCAAATCCTTTCGCTGACGGACAAGTAATTGAGCTGGCCAACTAACTAAATGGACACCAGGGAATGTCAGCCAGCTGCCATTCCCATTCCCACGTGTCTCTCTCTTCTCTCTCTCTCTCTGGCTCTCTCTCTCTCTCTCTGTGTCGTTCTGTGCTGTCGTCTCTCTATGGCATAGAGTCTCGCTTCTATTTGTTATGCATGCATAATGTAGCACGCACAGAAACACACACAGCACACACATCGACACATCGTAGCAGCACAGGGGAGAGGGGCTAAATGTAAATGTGTAAATTGTGAAAATAGTTGGGCCAAAGGACTCGTTTTCGAGCGCTTTAAGTCAATTTACAAAAACGACTGACGGCTGAATTATTCATTGCCTGCTTTTCGGCTCAGCCTTCCTTTCTTCCTTCCTTCCTTTCTACCTTTCTACCTTTTGCAGTTCTGTTTCTGCCACTGCCACTGGCTCTGTCTCTGTCTCTGCCGCTGCTTCGCATTACATTTTTAATGGCATGCCCCCATTTCGGCCACTCTTGAGTGGGCGGTCCTTGCCTTGCAGACAATCGCGATTGCAATCGCAACAGCAAAGAGCCCCCCATCCCCACCAGCACCACCACCACGCCACAAACAACAGAAAAACTTCACTCTACTCGTACTTTGTGTGCTGCCACACACCAACCAGCCACGAAAATCAATAAAAGTGACCCAAATACGCGCGCCAACTTCAGCCCGAGTGGCCAGTGGAAGAAGAGGCAGAGCTAGGAGCTACAGCTGGAGCTAGGAGCTACAGCTAGAGCTAGAGCTAGGAGCCACAGCTAGAGCAGGAGCTAGCGCAAAAGTACCATAGATAAAGCCTCAAGCCATTGGCCACCCTCTGGTCCCATGGCACCACGCAACCACCCATCAAAATTGGCCGGGCAAAGCGCATTTCCGGGCCGTGCACACACACGGCGTGTACGGCCGCACGGGCATGTGGAATGTGGAAGAGAATGTGACGCCAGCTTAGGGCCACTAATTGATTTATGTCACGTACGATGGCCGCTGTCTTCCACAAGGCACAGCAGTGGGGGGGCACTGGTAGGGTTTGTAAGGTGAAGCCAGAGCGGAAGCGGAAGCAAGAAGATTGCCCGACCAGACCATACCAGACCCAAACATACCAGACCCTGCAATCAACGGCTTATAAATAAACCATTGAAATGTCAGTGCAACGTGACGCAAAGTGTCCAAAATTGGTATTATACAATCAAGGGGGTTCGGGGCTTCACCCTTGCCTTACATTTGCGGGGTAGATCCATTCTCACAATGAAATGTGCTGAGGGTGAGGGCCTCCAATTTACATCAATCAGTATGTGAGGGTTGCCAAAATATTTACTACAGCTAGATCCCGCACAATCGAAGGGTTTTGAATATCTTTGATTGGGTAGCTCAATCCAGGGCAAAGGAAAAAGCTTTCCAGTTCTTGGTAAATCCACTTGAGATCTGTTCTTGCGTTTGATGTTTCCCTTTACCTTATTGGTGGATGGTCTGAAAGCCAGTTAAGTCTGGAGATTAGGGCTTATCCCTTCCAGTGTAAAAATAATTGATAATCTAATTGTTCGTTTAGTTCCCTTCACCACCCATCCACCCACCTGCTCTTATTATCCACATATCAACCCTCTAAAGCCCATGCTAAATATATATCCTCACTCATTTTACCCCCAGACGCAGCGAGTTCCTGGGCAGCAGCACCTTCCCGCTGAGCGAGCTTCTGGCGGAGAGCCACAGCGTGACCGGATCCTACAAGTTGCAGTCACAGTCACAGTCGCAGGCGCAGGCATGCCTTAGTAGCTGTCGCAGCAGCAGCAGCCGGAGCAGCAGGAGTAGCAGCAGCCAGAGCACTACCACAGCCAACTCCAGGAGCAGCAATCAGGAAGAGCAGGAGCAGGAGCAGGAGAAGCAGCAATCACTGGCAGAAGCATCCGCATCCGATATGGCCACCACCACAGCAACAGCAACAGCCACACCACAGAAGTCGTCGGCAGCAGCGGCTGCGGCGGCAGCTGCCGCCATGAACCTGGACGAGGTCATCAGCATCAGCATCGACAGCATGGCCGGCACCACGACGGTGGGCAGGGAGGATTGCCTGCTGCAGTCGCAGCAGCCGATGAAGCTCAGCAAGAAGGCCCTCCATCAGCGGGACGCGGACGAGAATCTCTTTCTGCGCTTCCTCGAGCTGGATCCGCCCGCCGATGGCAATGCGAACAGCACCACAAACGCCACCGGCAACAGCACGGCGAGTGGGGCAGGAGGCGCAGCACCAAGCGGTGCGGGTGGGGGTGGGGCGATCGCCAGTGTCATCTGCAATGTTAATGCCAATGTGAGCAATGCCAACCACCTGAACGGAGCCAGCGGCGGCGGCAGGCGCCAGTCGACCATGGCCAGCGGCGGCAGTGGGGGAAGCGCCGGCAGTGGACACCGCCCGATGGGACGCACCCCCTTCACGATGACCCGGCGACTGACGCGAACGGAGGAGCGGGGATTCGGCTTCTCGATTGTGTGGACGCACCCGCCGCGCGTCGAGAAGGTGGAGGCGGGAATGTCGGCGGACCGGTGCGGCATCCTGCCCGGCGACTATGTGATCTTCGTGGACAAGCACAATGTGGTCACGATGCCCGAGGCTGATGTTCTGAATTTGATACGATCGCAGGGCTCGTCCTTGACGTTGGAGATATTCAGAAGGTCAGGCGCGGGCGCCACAATGGCCATGGACTCGGCCATCACCACGGTCACAGTTGCCGCCACGTCCCTGTCCACATCAACGGGCACCGGAACCGGAACCGGAACGGGCACTGGAACGGGCATGGCCATGGCAACGGGAATAGGCATGGGAGCAGGTCTTTCCCTGGCCCTGGGCAACTCCAACTCCAATGTCAACGCCATCACACAGCAGCAGCAGTCCCGCCAGCAGCTGGTCCTGGGCCTGGAGCGTGAGGAGCTCACCACCTCGACGACGACGAACATGATGAGCCTTCAGCGGACGGGCAGCTCGAGACCAGCCAGGCCACAGGCACAGCTGAGCAACAACTATTCGCGTCCGGCCACCGCCTGCTCCGGCACCACCTCCTCCATTGAGGCCGCCAAGCGGCGGCTCCATCTGCCGCAGGTCACCTTCAGCAAGGAGGTAGGCAAGGGCGTTTTGGTCTAACCCGAATCCCATTCCGCCCTCCAATCCCCCCCCCAGCCCACAATCACTCACTCACCAATCTCCAATCCCAGGGGGATTTCGAAATATTTTTATTTCGTGTGTTTTTCCTTTATCATTCGTTTTCTTTTTTTTTTGCTATTTGTACATACTTGCAGACCGATTATCGTTTAGTTTTAGAGCTTAAGCAATCGCCATGCTGGCTGTCATTACTTACTATTATTAATCAACATTTTTTTTCGCCCAACGCACCAACCCCCCAACCCCCCACCCAGCCAACCCGTCATTAGGAAGCCCTGAATCGTATTCCCCATTGCGACCAAAACAAAAACAAAAAAACGCTTGACAATAAACATTTTTTTTCGACATTTTATTTGTGTGTTTGTCTTATGTTATATTAATTTGTATTATTACACGGAGGGGAGCGATATAAAAGGGGGTTTACATCGTTCTCTCCAATGTGTTATTGTGTGGTTTTTTTTTTTGCTTGCCCTTCATTTATTTATCCCCATTTTATCACTACTATCTAGCGCGTATTTCATACGTACAGACATGCATCATTGTCCGTCATGTCAAATGGCTGATTAGACTACACAAAAGAGTCCATAAATGACATGGCAGAAGAATATTTGTAGCCCCCATGACACTCAAACACCGTCCACAGCAAGACATGCGCCGCATAAAGAAGAGTATCGAGCAGTCTTCCAGCTAAGTGAAGCATGTACCGATTAGGCACTTTAGTTTCGATTACAATCGATGAGAATGGCATCGATTTTAATCGAAAAAAATAAGGGATGTACCGCTCAGATATCCATACATTTCAAGACCCTACAGATCTTCCAACACTCTCACTGCCTGAATCACCTTTCTGTATCTCTCTCTCTCTGAGCCACAACTCTAACCTACACTCTCTCTTCCTCTCTCTCTCTCTGTCTTCATGGCTAGTCGATTGTGCCGATAACGGACAATCGACGTCGCTTCCTGCTGCAGCTGATTAGCCGGGAACAGAACTTCACGGCAGCCCTGCACTTCGGGGTGGATCGGTTTGTGCAGCCGCTGCTGGAGCGAAAGGATCTGATATCGCCGAACGATCACCGGACGCTGTTCCAGAACATCGACGAGCTGCTGCGCATCGCCGAGGACATACTGGAGCAGCTGTGCAGCGGCGACCAGCACCAGCAGGAGCAGGAGCCGCAGATGAACTTCGCCTCGCGGGTGTACCTGTCCAAGACGACGGCCATCTGTGCGGCCTACAAGAAGTACTGCAACGGCATCAAGCGGGCCGACTGTGTGCTGGTGAACAAGTCGCGGCAGACGGGCTCCGAGTTCATAGCCTTCATCACGGAGCCGGTGGTGCCGCGCAAGCGGCCGGATCTCACCATGTTCATCCACCGTCCGCTGCAGCACTTCCGCGAGATCCTCAAGCTGATGCAGCTGCTGGCCAGCAACTGCCACGTGGACACCGAGGAGCATAAGAACTTCAGCAGCGTGATTGGGGAGCTGCAGGCGGCCTACCGCGAGATCACCGTCAGCAGCGGCCTCATGGAGCCCCTCGGCGAGGGCCGGCCCCTGCTCACGCTCCAGGACCTGGAGTCGCGCATGGTCTTCACCAAGTGCAAGCCCTTCACGCTGGCCGTGCAGGGCCGCCAGTGGATCTTCGGCGGCGATCTGTCCCGCGTCGAGGGCCGCTCCATCAAGCCCTACTGGACGCTGCTCTTCAGCGACATCATCGTCTTCGCCAAGGTCAGCCGCGACCGGGTGCTCTTCATCACCGAGGAGCCCGTGCCCATAGCCAATGTGGTCGACTCCTGTTTCCACATGCGCAAGAAGAGTGAGTAGCGGGCGGGAGCGTGCTCCCCCCTGGCATTCTCCAGTTCCCGTTTGACTTATTGCACTTCGTATTCGTTTTCCCCTGCGCAGCCACCGAATTCCGTCTGACTGTCGACCCCAATGGCCGGCTAGCCGAGAGCCCCACGGGCTACTGTGCCCCCGATCTCAGCCGGACACCCAGGCGGGGCGCACGCCGCAAGAGCCTCATCCTGCGCGCCCCCTCCCTGGAGCTGAAGGCCGTCTGGCAGAACCTGCTGCAGCGCCAAATGTATGCTATCCGCCCCCGCGCTCCTCTCGCTCTTCTGCAGCCCTTCTCACGGCCTTTTCCATGCAGATTTCTGGTGAATGCGGCCCTCGGCTCGACGCCCCTGTCCAGCCCCCTGGACTCGCCGGATGTGCTGAACACGCTGGTGCCGCTGAGTGACATTGGCATGACCTCCGCCTCGATGGCCTCGATGAAGCTGCCATCGCTGGACAGCATCAACCTCAAGCAGCAGAAACAGCAGGTGCGTCTCTTTCGTAGCAAGCGCCTGGACAGCGGCGATTCCTACGAGAATCTGCAGCGGCTGGCCAGCGCCGTGCGGCACAGCTGCGCCACCAGCACCACCGCCAGCGCCACAACCAGTGCCTGCGCTGCCACCCAGACGCCGCTGCACTCCCACTCCCACTCGCAGTCGCAGTCGCAGCTGTGCTCCGCCTCGCTGCCCTCGCGCACCACGTCGCCAGCCCGCCTGCCACACGGTCAGGGTCAGGGCCATGGCCACTCGAATGGCTCCTGTGGGGGCTCTGTGCCCAATGGTGTGGGCACCACGGCAGCGGGGGTGCTGGTGGGCGGCGGTGGGCCGGGCGACAGCTCGCTGCGGCGCTTCAACACGAACAGCTCATGCCTGAGCAGCAGCGGCAGCCTGACGGGCCACACCCACACCCAGACCTCGGCCCCATCCCTGTCCCTGCCCAGCGCCAGCTGTAAGTGTCTCACGGCCATTCCGGAGGCCAGCAGCGAGCCCCTGCCCCCTTCTATGCCTGTGCCTGCGCCTGTGCCTGTGCCTCAGTCGGTGGCCCCCTCGCACAAGCTACTCGAGTTCAGCCTGAGCTCGGTGGGGCGCTCGTTCATCGACGAGGCGGCCAATGTGGGCATCGGGCAGGTGTCCCTGACCACCCCTGAGACGCCCACGCCCAACATTTCGCCCAGCTCGCAGCCGTGCAACTCGGACGCCTTCTCCAATGACTTTGTGCCACCGGCGGGCGGGCGGGCAGGCAACATACCGCTGGCCGAGTTCGGGGGCTCGTGGGATCTGCTGGAGCTGGACCTGCAGCTGCACGAGGTCAATCTGGATCCGTGCTACGACACGGATGTGGAGGAGTGCATCTTCCTGGGTGAGGGGAGAGCGGGCAGCGATGGCCAGGACCATGCCGACGGGGACAATGACGAGGACAGCGACGATGACAGCGTGGTGGTGGACGATGATCCCTTCGGCATGCTGCCCACCAAGCCCACGCCACCGGACTCCCTGGATCTGTGATTTGACTTTTGGCTACAGACGGACGCCACTGCGACGACGGTGACGGTGACGGTACCGGCCGATGACGCTGACGATGACCCACGAGATGGGCTCCACGACGATCCCTTCCCGACCCTGCACAATCTTTGAATCGACGAGCTTAGACAAAACTACCACTGATTTACCCCCCAACCCCAAAACTCTCTGGCCCATTCGATCTCTCTCTCTGTCTCTCTCTCTCTCTTGCTACCTCATCGCTTGATCTGATCCCTCTTGATTGCTCTGCTTCTGCTTCTGGTGCTGCTTCTGGTGCTGCTTCTGGCACTGCTTCTGGTTTGGGCCAACTGCAACCTCCTCTCTGCTAGACTTGCTTTGCTTCACTCAATCAGCAATTGATTGGGTAGGATGTCATCCGACACAACCATCCAAACAATCACGTATCCCTGGAGTATTGTACATATGTGTGTAGCCTGTGCCCCAATAACATCTTCCCAACTTGCTCGCTTTGCGCACTGTATATATAGGTACATATATAGGTGCATATACCTGTACACTTGTTGCACCAATCCAGTTGACAACTAACCCCCCTTCCACCCCCCCCTTGTAATCGTGTTTGCTTCATCCAAGTCGATTCTGAATCGAGTGTAAATATCACTGGAAGTTGGACGAGTGCCGAAGAGGGTAGTTATCCACGATGATAACAATGTTGTATGTGTGTAATGTAGCACTTAATTCTTGCATAGTTACATACATATATACATATATATACCTTATATACCAACCTACTTAGAGTACATTTGTTAGAACATAGCCATACCATATAGCGATAGCTAGTCAAATATACAACTACCTAAAGGCGATGGCAGGAGCAAAAGAAACAAACAAACAAACAAACAAACAAAAGAAACCCCCCACAGACACTGGGGATGACATCCATACATATTTGTGTACTCGTATATTCCATTCCATACTCCTCTAATCGCTCCAATTCGTACTCTCGTAATATCCATTTTAATTGAAACTTTTCTGCCAATCCAACGAAGTGACGAAAAACGAAAAGGATACCCAAAGGAATTATTATATCTAATGTTAAAGAAATGCTTCCATTTTGTAGCCAAATCGAAACTCTTATTACTGTTATTGCTGTTGTTATATTCCATTAGCCTAGATCTAGTTCCACATCTGGATCGGAAACCACTCGTATGCTAAGTTTACCATTAGCCAAACAATTGTTGCCATTTCGATTAGATTCGATTCGATGCCCAATCCCCAGCCCACAATCCCGAAACCCCTACCCCTACCCCTAAGTTGCACTCGCAAAGCATTTCAAATTGTACAAACATCTTCCTTAGAAATTACATACATACATATAGTACATCCCACATGTATACTATGTAGTACCTAGCATAAACTTATGTCTATAGCTGTAATCGAACTTTGCTCAGTCGCGGGGCTCTTGGCTGGATGGCATCCCACACTCCACACACTCTGATCCATCTGTCGATGTCAATTATCAATGACAAGCACTTTGTTGCCTTTTTAAAGTAATCCCAATCCCAGTCCCACCCACATACATGTATGTATATCCCTTGTAGATATTCTAAATATCCAAACAATATTTATTTGTGGGCTCGCACAGTCCTAGTGGGGTGGGTAAAAAGGTTTTTTAAATAATTCCATATTCTATTCCACACACACTACCAACACTGTAAAGATAGTTTCTTCCTTGGTAAAAATTTTAAAGAGTTTTGCATGGAAATATTTTTAGCTTTTTACCCATCGATGGGCAACGCTGTGCGAGTTTTGTTGGGTGTCGAAGCTGTCCAGCCAGGACCTTTGGCGACTCTTAGCTAGTCTCTGGTCTAACCTATATACACGCAAACACACACACCACACACACACCTGTACATCTGTGGCAAGTTTTAACAGACTGTGGGGAGAGTACGTTATCAAGCATACGCCGCGTTGTCTTTTGCGGCTCGGTTTTTGGGTGTGCCTTGAGCAATAAGCAAAATATCTCTCTATACACCATACTTACACAAGTATACACAGTATATACAGTATATAAAGTATATATATATACATCTACATATATATATTCGTATTCATATTATGTAATCTGTGTATGTACCGTCTAGAAATTTTTGATTTAACGTTTTTTGCCACTTTACATAACACGAGAGGATATCGATATCGACTTCGACTTCATGCAGTTTGAGATTGAGATTGCGATGAGAAACGAGATGCATTCAAATAATAATAATAAAAAACAAAAATGATTCTTTGACTAAAAACGCTTGTGATGTTCTTTTTATTTCATTAAAACCAAAAACCAAAACAAAAAATTAAAAAAAAAAAAAAAAAACCAAAAAGAGTAAACCAAGTAGAAACCCACCGAGCACTCATTCAAAACGTTGCCCAATATCGCTCCGCATTTATCTAGAACCTGGTCAAATCCTGTGCTTACAATTAATTGGTCGTTCCAAAGCAAAAACCGAAGATCAGTTTCCCCCACAGGCAAAAAAACCAACCAAAAAAAAACATTTAATAAAAACTAAAAACAAAAAGAAAAAGAAAACACACAAAGCAGAAGAAACCAAAATTGATAAATTAAAAATTGTGATGGACTCAATTTTAGTTTTAAGTTCGAATCGCTTCTTCTAATTCTTCTCCAATTTCCTCCAACTTCAACTTAAATTTCCACCTCCAATCTTTAATCGCTTATTTGTTGTTGTCATTTGTACCTGTAACCTGTAACCTGTAACTGTACCATTAACTGTTTACCGTTACCGTTTTCTTGTAGCCGTTATTCGTGCTGTTTTGTATCCGCCATATTCGTTGTGTTCGTTTTGTGTTCGCCCTCAGAACCTTCCCACTCCCCTTAATAGAGTATCCAATTTTCAATTTCCAAGAGAGCAAAAGAGCAAGCGTTTTTAATCAAAGCAAATAAGGACAAAGAAAAGTTCACGGTTTCAATCGCATTATTATTTCCGTTCCGTTTTCTCCGTTGAATCGATCAAGGATCTCAGCCAAAGTCAAAGGCAAAAGCAAAAGCCAAACCAAAACCAAAAACTAACCTCAAAACTCAAAGCAAAGCAAAGCAAAAAGAGAAACAAAAACAAAGAAAAAGCAAAAGCAAATCCAAGCAAAAGCAAAAATGCATGAGAAAGAAACCCTCCTCCAACTTGGAAATTTCCAATGAGCCCATCACAAATTTTAATTTGCCAACCAACGTTCGGGCAGCATTCGGGCAGCGTTCGGGCAGCGGTGGTGGGTGGATTGGTGGATTGGTGGGGCAGTGGGTGGTGGTGTTCCTGAACATAGGCCAAGGTAAGACGCGCTCTACAGTCATTTACCTCCCCCACATTACTTTTTGCAGCAACGTCACAGCTCTCACGGCCATGTGTCGGGCCACACGGGGTCGGGTGCGGCTGCCTGCGCTGGCCACGCCCATGGACACACACACGGACATGCCGTGGAGCAGATCGAGCTGCTGATCGACGAAAAGTGCCGCATCCTAAACAAGACCGGCACGCCCAAGTCGAGCGCCCTGCACCTGGCCAACTGGATGAAGGGACAGCTGGACAAGCAGCAGCAGCAGGCGCGACTGGCGGCCATCGCACGCTCCCAGGAGAACATCACCGCCGAGGACGAGCAGCTGATCTTCAACAGCGACAGCGAACAGGACGAGCGCATCACATATTGGACGCGACAGCAGCTCGAGAAGCGCACCAAGGAGCTCAACCTGGCCAAGGAGAACGGCGTGCTGTCCGCCAAGCCCAACTTCGGTGGCAAGCGGCTCAGCGGCGTCGAGGAGCTCAGCATGAGCGCCGCCTCGGACATCTACTCGGAGGCGGAGGCGGCTGCTCACAGCCAGATCAGTCAGTCGCATAGCACCACATCGGACAGTCAGGTGAGAGCGCAGCTTAAAAGTATGCTACACCACTTTGTGCACATACGATCCACATGTACTCCACACATGTGAGCCACTCACAATCCACACACCTTTAATGCACTTCAACCACTCAAACCCTCTCAGTTCTAAGCAGAAAAGAACCATAAAATCCCTAGTAAACGCTAATCCCTGCTCTATCTTCCGCTTCATCTCTGCTGCTGCTGCTCCACCATCCATCGCTGCCATATTTAGATCACGGTACGCTCGAGCCCCATTGTGCTGGACAAGCTGGCCGTTTGCCGACACTGCCACAAGAATTGCCAGCAGAGCGGCGCGGGTGGCGGTGGTGCCGGTGGCGTCCATAACTCCAGTTCCACGCCCGTGCTCCTCTGCAACTCGCTCAAGGTGCAGCACAGCCAATCCTCACCGAATCGATGCTGCAAGCTGAACGGCATGGCTGGGGGATCGGGCACGGGCACCGGCACGGGAGCAGGCACCGGCACCGGCACCGGCACGAGCAGCGTGACCAGCATGTCCAGCAGCACCATCACGGGGGAGCTGTCCTCGAAGGTAGTCGCTAGCAGCAGTCGCCGGGAGACCGGCGACACGGAGAGCGACGTGGCCCAACTCATCACCGACGAACTGTCCCTCTCCCAATCAGAGGCCACGGACGAGAGCGTTGGGGCCATTCCCAACAGCAGCAGCAGCGCCGGAGACGGCTCCAAACTACGAATTTTAGAACCTCAACCAACGGCTGTGGCATCGGTGGCATCGGTGGCAGTGGTGACTCCACCTATGGCCAATGGCCATTGCTCTGGCGGCTCACCGAAACCGTTGCCACCACCACGACGCACTCGCATCGTGGCCCAGATGTGCCAAGAGCCGGCCCGGCCACGGGCAAACCAGCAGGTCAAGGCCATAGTGACGATCACGGAGACAGCGCGGATCATGCGCAGCAGCGAGCGCACAGCCCACTCCGTGGGATCGGGCGGATCGGGCTCGGTGTCGGGCTCGCCAGCCAAATACGCCGCCTGCCACTGCCGCTGCACACCTGAGGACTTCACGCACGCCCAACTGTCGCCGGACAAGATGGAGCACCAGACCTGCAAGCTGCTGGAGTCGCCCAAGCAGACAGCAACCACCACATGCACATCCACAGCAGCCGCAGCCGCAGCTGCAGCGACAGCGGCCCAGCGGCAGGAGGATGAGCAGCTGTCGCTGGTGCTGATTGGACTGGCCCAGTTTGCGCCGGCGGCCAAGCTGTGTGGGCAGCAGGAACGGGCTCCAGCATCACTCCTCCATCCCGCCACTGGGGATGATAGTTCCACCCCTACGATAGCCGTGGTGCCACCCACGCCCGATGCCGTGCTCACCAAGACGAGCACCCATGTGTGGGACAACAGCGGAGGAGCTGCTGGATCGGCTGGATCGGCTGGAGAAGGAGTGGCCACCACCAGCACGACCACCACCACAACGAAGCAGCCGCGGCAGGCGATCATTGAGAACATACCCGAGGACTCGTGCGACGAGTCGCCGCTGGACGAGGAACCTCCGTACAGGCCCATGACCAACGCCCTGAGGCGCTTTGGCACCATGTCCAGCCTGGAGAAGCTGCCCTCCGACGATCGCATGGACGAGGCCGACGAGCTGGACGACGACCTAGAGCCCTACACTTCGAATGGCCATGACGACAGCCCCCCCAACGATGACGATGATGATGATGATGATGATGGGGATGGGGATGAGGATGACGATGAGGATGCAGCCTCGGACAAGGCGCTGGCCCAGAACCTCAACGATTTGGTGGGCTGCTCCAGCTCGACTGGGGCCATGGTCAATGGGGATGTGCTGGCGAGTGGAGCCTGGACCAATCGAGCTGGGGCCTTTGTCTCCGACAAGATGTCCTTCTTCGAGGAGTCGCGTGCCTTCATCGACAAGTACTTGGGTCGCTGGAGCGCCGAAGATACCCAGGAGCAGCCCCAGCAGACAGCCACCTCCGAGACGGATGAGCAGATGGACGAGTGCACCTCGGGGGCAACCAGTGGCGAGGAGGTATGGGGCACGCCCACCAGTGGCGGGGACAACGAAGACAACGACATGCAGCTGATCAACTCGGAGAACACGCACTCGGTAAGAGGACATTCGGATCTCCTGACTCGGGACTCGAGCCTGATTGGGGTTCTCTCTCTTTCTCCTTTCAGTCACCCACCAAGTCGAGCACCTCGCTGAACGATGACGATGACACGGAGCTGATGATGGACGAGCTGCTGATGGCCCCACCGATGACGGCCAGCACCATACGGGGACTGCTGCCACGGTATGTAGGGGTGATGTGGCACATCCCACAGCCACCACGAGATACATATATTGTGGAGACATAAACATACACAGCTGGTAGAGCGACTAGACTAGACCCATAAGCAGCATAAGCCGCAGCCGTAGGCCAGACATAAACCCATCTATCTACTCGTGTACTCAATATATCGTATATAGCCCATATATAGCCAAAACTCTAGAGATAGTACCTCCATTAACCCTACTCTAACTAAGTAAACGAATTCTCTTCTTTTGTGTATTCCTTTGGACACTTTCTTTCGTAGCTTTTACAGGTGTTTTTACTTTCGGTTCCATTCGTTTCGCCCACACCCAAACAACACCCAACCACACCCACACACACAGCCACACCCACAGCCCGATTCGATTCGTATTTGTGTATCTACTCGTACATACTTACATCCAACCATCCAACCATCCATCTATCCAATTATTCATAGTTCGCTCTCTCACTCTCTCTCTCTCTAGTATTGCTCTCATTTTCGGGTTTAGCTTTAGACTACATATAGACATAGTCATAGTCATAGCCATAGCCAGATCGAAGATCGTGGATCGAGGACCAACGACCAACGGACACGAGAGGGCGGACTGTCTTTGTGTCTTTATGTAGTGATGTATCCTTGTATAGCCTTTTGATCGTATCTACCATCTACTATATACTATATTTCTACAATTAAGTTTGCTCTATTCAAAATTGATGCATCATGGACACACACACACACACACACACATACACATACATACATTTATATAGTATATATCGAAAACAAATCCAATCAACACATCGATCAAATATTGCTAAATTCAAATTGAAATTCGTTTACATACGCCATAACACACATCATACATACATACGTATTATCGAATCGTATCGTATCGTATCGAACCGTATATCGTAACCGTATATCGATACATGTCATGCTTAGACGTCGTCTTGAGCCCCTTTTCGAGGAGGAGACCGAGAGCGATGAAGAGAAAACCCAGCAGGACAGCGATGACATCAAAAAGGTGGGTCGTTATTACAGCAAATCCCAAAAAAAGCAAAAACAATAAAACCAAAACAAAACAAAACAGAAACAATAAGAAATAAACTCAAACTTTCGTTGCGATTCTGCTGCATGTCAACACTGGCGCACGCGGCGCAGTGGCATGCATGGCAGTGCCGTCCGTCATTGCCTGAAGCAACTGTACACCGCGAAACAATTGAGACAGAAGTCTTCGGTGCACCGAAGCGGCAATGCACTTGCAACTGCAACTGCAACTGCATATAGTAGCCTCACTTTGGAGCGATAATCTGCATACATAATCCCACCACCTGCATGTAGCCTAAGCCAACTATCAATTTAGCTATCTGTCAAAAACACTCAATGAACTTGAACTAACTTGAACTCACTTTGGTTTGTCTTTCTATTTTTTGTCTATACTTTCATTTTCATATGCCACCACACCATCAACTCCGACTGCAACTCGCTCAATCGCTCATCTACATCCATCGATAAACCCACCACCATCTCCGCACCATCATCAATCAAACAAACAATCGATCAATCGATTAATCAATCGATCAAACTAACAATCATATTTATCTGCATACTTGAACACATTTTATATTCAAACTCAAATTTGTTGTGTGTAAACTGTACTTTTTTTTTGCCTGCCGCAATTTCTCACTCTCTCTCGCTCGCTCTCTCTCTCTCTCTTTGAGCGCTATTTTCATGTATTTTTGTGTAACTTAATTAAACTTATTGTTATCGTATCGTATTGTTATCGCTATTGTTATCGCTATTGTTATCGCTATCGTTAACTGGCATTATGTGTACAATTTACTTCACACTTATACAAATACATATATACAAATAGAAAGTCGTAGTGAAATTAGTGAAGCTTTAGCCAATCCTGCAATACTGCGAGCTCATAACCATCAGACGCCTGGACGGGGACGACGACAGAGACGATGACAGCGATAACGATTGACGACCGCGCTCACCGCCAACCGATCACATCAAATTGAACTCCAATCCCCAATCCGATATATCGAAATTCCGTACCGCCAACGCACCGAACCGAATGCATCCAGCATATCCACTCAGAATCGACAACATCAACATCAACATCCACATCGACATCGACATCCACATCCAAGCGCAAACTGCAAGCAGGAAGCTCTATCCAAACCAGAATTGATTAGTTGAATTCTATTCCCAACAATTGGTAGGGGGAAGCAACGACAAATGGCCACTACCTAGAGGATTCAGCTGGAAGCTCAAGCGACGAGGCAGCCCCAGTGGTGCCGCATCGGCAGGAGGATCCGGAGGAGGAGCATCTGCATCAACAGCTGGAGCGGGAGAAGGAGCCAGAACCGGAGCAGGAGCAGCAGCAGCAGCAGGAGCATCTGGGGTATCCACAGCAGAGATTGCAACCGAGCCTGGGGTCACGTCCATTGCGCACTACCATGCTGCTGCCCACTACGGCCATAACCACGCAGATGGAACCGTCACCACCACCACCACCAGCACAGCGAGTGGCTGCACCGCCAGTGGTGGCCTTATCCTGCGAGTATCTGCTCGATCAGCGCCCCTCTATACGCTCGACACCCGCATCGCACACGACGAGGTCGTCCACGATGCCAGCTACGATCAGCGGGCCCGGGACAGGGACCGGGCCAGGGCCAGGGCCAGGTCCAGAGATAGGGAGCGAGAACTGCAGCACGATGCCATCATCTCGGCGGCCTCAGCCTCCGGCTGCAGCAGCGACAACGGGCAGGACGATGACGACGGCGAGTCCAGCTCACTTGTCGACTACTACAACAACCAGCAGCGGGAGCGGCACTACGAGCTGCGGAGGCAGAGCCAGCGGCAGGCCAGCGAGGTTTATACCACCGCCGCCGCCGCCGCGTCGCTTGCTGCTCACGCAGACCAATCTAAGCGCTGCACCACCCAAAACGGTAAGTCCCAGCCGTCCAGCTCCCCAATTTGTGCTCCCACTGACCCATTGGTGTGTCCGCAGGAGCCACCTCAAAGAAAATCTGGCGCTACTGCTGACAGTGGCTGCTCGGGGGCTGTCGGCGACGCCGCCAGCGCTTCGGACCCAATCGCTACCGGGTCAAGGACAATGCCAGCGGCGATTACCAGCAGCTCTGTGCTGCCGGCACCGTCCCAAAAACGGCCATCGCCAACGATAATCGAGACCTGCCTGCTGGGGGCACCCAGGCCCGCCTCAGCCACTTCATCAGCAACAGCCTCGAGGATACCAAAGCCGAGCCGGGCGAGTCCCACCCACCGTCAGAGCAGCCCGGCTATAGTGGCGGTGAAGGCGGAGTCGGAGGTGCAGGTGCAGGTGCAGGCGCAGGCGCAGCCACAGGCGGTAACGGAACCGGATGCAAGCGGAGCAGGTCAACGTTCGGCACACGCTGCCCCAGCGCCCCACGCTGGCTGCGGCCTAAGTCCAAGGCTGGAAATGCGGCTGGCCCTCAATCACGACATCCTAGGGGACGAGGACTTGATCTGCTACGAGCCTGGTCCAGATCTAACAACTATTCTGGGGTGAGTAGTGAGCTCTCATAGTCAATACTCTCTGCTGATTGCCATCGTCGTTGCAGGCACGACCTCTCCACATTTCATCGTCTGACGGGTCGCGATTTATTGAGTCGTTCAGCCACGAATCGGGTGCAGCCAAAAGAGGCTGTCATATCGTACTCTCAACAACGCAACTCAAAGATGGACACGCCGACGGTGAACCGTCGTCCTCGTCCGCTCTCGGCCTCCGTGCAGAGCAACCACAGCAGCAGCAGCCACGGCAGTCCACATACCGCTGGTTCAGCTCGTGCCGGCGGCGATACACGCAGCCAGCAGGCCAGTCCAGGACCATGGACCGCTTCTGGCTATGCGGGTCGAGCCGGCGCAGGGAGCGGAAGCGGCGCCGACAGCAGCACCGCCTGCAGCTCCAGCAGAGGCGCGAGCAAATTAGGCGATCTGGAAATCTTAGCGAGACGCGAGAAGATATACTGCATGTCTCAATCGAGGAGTGGCTGTCAAGTCAGGGAGACATCCACGACCTCCACAACGATGGTGGCAACGATGGCTACGATGGCTACGGGGCTGGGGATGGGGATGGGGAAGGGGAAGGGGACCACGACGGGCTCGGAGATGGCATCGAAACGCGACTCTTCCTTGCCCACCCAAGCAGTAGCAGCAGCTTCTCTGACGAGGACGATGAGTACTACTTCGATGGACGGAGCGGTAGCCACCAGTACCACAACAACAATGACTGAAGCATTCCTCGAAACGGAAGTGGGCAAGTCGAAGCGATTGTGAGTAGTCCTTGAATTTGAAATGAAGTGTGGACACCATAGACAAGTGTATAAAGCCACATCTTAACTCTCAAAGTTCTCTGGTTATTGCTAGCCTGGAGCGTGGTGACCTAGGGGGAGCCAAAACACACACAAATAATGTAGCCATAGGGTTACGGGTTCCTTTACGCAGGGCACTACGTTGCTACCTTGCACCTAAAGCCAAACGCACAAGCGAAAAGTGTAAAAGAGAATGCCGGAGAATGCAAAAACAAAACGAGCGGCAACGTTGTGCGCCTCTATTTTTATACCTGGTACTCAGTCAGCCCGATTTTAGGATATTTTATTTGTTTCCATAATCTATGTCCCCTTCCTTCCTCTCACACCAACACGCTGTTCTCCTCCTCCAGAAAGCGTGAGAGAGAATGAGTAGCTGCAGCGCTGCAGCGCTGGAAGGGTGTGGGTTAGTCAGTGATAATTAAATTCTCCATTCTGCCCATATTAATGATCTGATCTGAATCAGACTCAGCAGTCTGTTAGATATCGTCAATCTCTACGATGCTGTGGATGCCACAGATTTGTGCTTCCTTTGTGGCTGCGGTAGTGGGCGGGGTAAAATTTTTAAATGCACTTGCCACAGTTTGATACCACAGCAGTCAGGATACTAAATTTGGCTGCTTTAGCTCTTAGAGTCTCTGAAGCTTAGGCGCTCATCGGAACGGATCGACTCGGCTATTGATGCTGATCAAGTAAATATATATTTATATTTATGGGATCGGATATATCCCTAAACTCTACGAGTACCGGGTATAATAAGTACAGATGCCATCGCTGCTCGACTCGAGTCAAGAGTCGCTAAGGGTTTATTTTTTGTGCCCGCGGCTGCTATAGCCTATAGGCTGATGATCGTGTGAAATATTTAATGCTACATATTTGGTCTTATTCTGATTCACAGAATCAACTTTATTAAGCGTCGCAACTCTGAGATAACCGCTAGTAGCAGCAGCAGCACCCCCAACCACTCCGACGGAGCCCTTGGCGAGCAGCCCCAACCGAGCCAGACCCAGGCCCAGGCCCAGAGTCAGAGTCAGAGCAGCCTGCTGCCGCTGGGCACGTCTCAGGCAGCCGAAGCCGCGGAGATGGCACAAATGTCGCCGCGCAAGGATAACGTAAGCGCAGCCATTACTAGACCCACCGATCTATTGATAAGTTGACAATTTATGATTTATTTGATGTAGGACAAGCCATCTCTGAATCGCCGCCTGTGGAAGCAAATCACGAAACGCCGACGCACCAACTCCGTGTCCCAAATAGTCGCTGGTTAAGGTGTCATGCCCCCATTCGCACCCATTCCCTGCTCCCACTGCTATCCTATGCCAACTAGCCAACTGTTTTCGGAAGATCCCAGCATACAGCATACCCCTGCGATCCTTAGCCAGTGCATAGCTTTTATTGTGTTCTGTGGGTAGAGTTTAGTTAATCATAAGTTGAGCACGACGGATCCGAAGGGCAGCCCATGGCCTGGAGCACAGACTGGAGTCCGGGTCCGTGGCAGCAGCTTTCCACTTACCCAATGGACCGGAAGCAAAATGGCAGTTGCTGCTACGGATTTCCGGATGTCTGGATCAACTAGCGGGCTGCCACACACCCAATGGACTGGCATTGAGCAAATACCAAACTACCAAAAACACCAACAGCAACAAACAGGAAACAACAATGTGGGGGGGGAAAATATTTAGTAGAGTACAACTACGAGTACGAGTACGTTAGGTTTTTTTGATACAACTTTGTAGGGTAGGTGAATCCTGCGATCGATCACACAGATCACGGGCCACTCTAGGCGTCTAATTGCGTCCAAAACGAATCTCCTGCCAACAGTCAGCAGTCGGGAGGCAGGAGGCCAAAAGAACTCAGTCCAAGCCAAATACGATATAAAAATACGACAACGAATGGCAGCAGGTTGACAGTGAGGGGAGGGCACAGTACGCGTAAGTACAGTACTCTCTCCAAACATGCATACACACAGACAGACAGACACACACACACATGCAATCCAGCCAAATGAATAAGAAATAGAAGATAGAAGAATTCGAATGTTTACACTGACTATTTTTTAGAGCAGATAGATATAGTAGCGAGAGAGAGAGAGAGAGAGGGCATTCATTAGCATTATACGAGTACGAGCAGGAGCAGGGGCAGGAGCAGGAACAGGAGCAGGAGTAGCTTAGCAATTGGGTGGTTATTGGTTGGGTGGGGGGCTTTTGATATTGGTTCGTGTTTTAGTGTTTAGTTCTAGTTCTCAATTAACAATGAAATTGCCTTACGTATTCAATGAACTATTGTAATTGGTAGCTTAGTGTGGTAGTGGGTATTTATACATACATTTTACGCATTATTTTGCAATTGTCCAGCAATGTCAGCATCGGTATGAGCATCTGCATCGGCCTCAGTATCAGCATCAGCATCCAGCATCCAGCATCAGGCTTCAGCAGTCAGTAGTACGCCGCCGCCACTAATGAATTTTATGAATTTAAATTCCACATTTTTCTCAAACTATTTACAAGGAAACTTTTGCATCAGAGTCGAATACGCGTATGGGGAAACTTTGTAGCTTATTTCACATTGAAATTGAACAAAATGAAATCGAAAATTGTTTAGAATGAGAGATCGAGATCCAAATCGAGATTGAGATTGAGATCGAGAGCAGCGCTGAGCTGAGATGCTATGAAATTATACGAGTTAATAACGACAAAACGATGAAGTACATTTATCAGCTTTAATAGAAAATCTAATTAAATATATATATTATACATGAATGAATCTAACTAGTTCTAGTCCGTAGATAACTAATTGATATACGAATTACTTTTCAAATAGGGTGGATGTGGATGTGTATGTGGACGTGTACGTGTACGCGATCGAGCTATTAGGCATTTACCAATCACACTCTTGGGGCATGGCATCCATTGATTCAGCACCATCTGCACCACGTATCACGTACCACGTACCGCGTACCACGAACAGTGTCTCAGTATTCAGTAACTTACTTTGTAAAACTCAAACACTGACATACTCCTCACAAGTCCGATTACTCGAATATACATATGGGTAAATACTACGACGAGTTCTATATACAATTCATATGCATGCATGTATGTATGTACATATCGTACATACATATGCATATGGCATGTGTATGGATTCTTTTTTTTTTGGCGGTCAAATCTTGTATTTTAGTGAAGAAGTGAATTTTCCTCTTGAAATTCAATAAGAAATTCAATTATTTAAAGATGAAATTACAGAAAAACAAAACATACAAATAATTCAATATACAATAAATCAAAATCGAAAAGATCAACAATTTGTTTGCATTCTGGGGGATCGCTTCCAGTGGGGGGCTTCTGTTTTTAGCACATCAGTTACATGTGTGTGTGTGTGTACACTGTACATATGTATGTTCGTTTGGTATATATGTACATACATATATAAAAATACTTCAACATATTTCAGTACAGCGGTTGGAAGCCCTTTTGAATTTTAGAGCAGTTCAGTAATAATACAAAAATAAACCCTGATGGAAAAGTCTCGAGTCGAACACCAATGATCCTTGTCATGCACACGACATGTATTTGCTTTTTGCATTCTCGCTCGTTCTCTTTGGCACATTTCGCTTGTGCGTCCGGCTGGCCTCAGAGCAAGCCCAACGGCTATTTAGTATCTGTAGATATATAATCCATATCAAATCTATTCATTTGTATATTTGTATTTACATTTATTACTTTAATCCATCTACATTTTCGGTGGGGGTTATTCTTTTATATTTACTATTTATTTTTGTGATTAACATTCATAGT